AGACGTCGATCGATACTAAGTCGGGATCATCGATCGACATCCCCGATGACAACTAGAAATTAGCAAATGTCACGAAACAGATCATAAATTAATTTTAGAAGTAGAAGTTTTTGATTGTTGGGGAACAGACTTCGTGGGCCCTTTTCCTTCATCTTACGGAAATAAATACATCCTAGTTACAGTGGGTTATGTGTACAAATGGGTCAAAGTCGTAGATTCCCCAACAAATGACGCAGCAGTAGTAATCAAGCTTTTCAAGAGCATTATTTTTCCGCGATTTGGAGTACCTCGAGTAGTCATAAACGATGGTGGTTCCCATTTCATCAACAAAGTCTTCGAAGGCTTACTTCAAAAACATGGAGTACACCATATAGTAGCTACACCTTACCATCCACAAACTAGTGGACAAGTAGAAGTATCGAATCGACAAATCACATAAATTTTGCAAAAGGCTGTAGGAACCTCGAGGAAAGATTGGTCTAGGAAACTGGATAATTGATACACTAAAATTTGATCTTGATACTGTCAATTAAACAGTGGTTCTTGTAATACTTATGATTCAATTATAGAGGACCAGTTTACTCTTTACTTCTATGAGTTCAGTTTCAACCTAAAACACGATATTGAAATCACAGAGAGCAAGGAACAAAGAGCGGAAGTTTTGAATTCAGGTTATAAAGATGCCAGCCTAGGGTGCGTTCAATAGTTGTTAACAAGAAGAACCAAAAGAATTATTCAAGCTCGGTTAAGAATAGTCTAGAAATCAGATTTCTTGAGATACAACAGCCTGCTCTCGCAGAACTGCTCGTTTTCCACATCGATCTTGATACCTAACCTCTCGCTTGGATCAAGGATTGATAGCAAACATTAAAACTCGTATCTAATATGTTCACAAAATACCCTAATATCTAATCTCGCTGATTAGGGATATGATGCTCATTTATAACAGATCTAGCAACCTAATTCATGGTTAATGATAAAAGGTTAAGTTTAGGCTCAAACACTAAGTGATCAGATTAATGAAAGCATTAAAAGTAGATATAAACAAATAAGAGAGGATAAATCTTATCTATGTTTAATCCATGAATCAACACCCTAGAATTCTAGATTAACAAATCAACTACTCATTCATGGCACAAAGAATTCAAAAATCATGACTGAATAATACAATGATCGATCAAAATAAGAAGAGGGTTTAGGGAGTTCTTCTCTAGAAATGAAGAAGAGAATCCGTTGCCCTTACAAAATAGCTAGAATCGCCAACAAAAATCTCAATAGTTTCTTGTGTAAAAACTTAGGTAGAAAAACAAAAGTAAAGATAGCCTAGGCTTTTAAAAGATAGTCGGCGCTTGCTACGGTGAGGAGATTCCGTATCTAGGGTAAACCCCGAAACGGATCAGAAGTTTCCATCATTGCTTAGAGCAAGCAGGGGTTGCTCCGCGACAGAAAACTCTAAATTTGCATTCCTGTCTTCATGTCTTCCCTCTTGCGCAATCCGACTTATTCCCAACCTGAAATGACTCAAAACAAACTAAGAAGACTCCAGAAATGCATAAAGATGATATGAAAAGCATATGTACAATGTGTCAAAAACATAACATATCAATTCTCCCAGACTTGGATCCTTGTTTGTCCTTAAACAATGTAAAGTTTCCAGAGCAGAGAGAAAGGTTTGAAAGTGTGGGAACTCTCTTATTTCAGTAACCATACTTTAACTACAAATCTCTGAACCATACAAGAAAATGTACTAGGACAACACACCCTTACCAAAATCCCACTGACTGATGTTCAAACCGGCTCCATACTCTATATCTAAAACCTGTAAAAGTCACACTTTCCAGACAAAACTCTTTACATTCAATTAAGAGCAGCGTGAGCTTCTTATCGCAGGCATTATTCAGGGTGGACGGGATAGGTGTTAGAACAGGCTGTTTAGTGGTGTAAGTGGAGCTAAAAGTGTTTAGGGTGTACCATTTTATTTTGCAGAGGGAGCAGGATGTCGTGCGAAATTGCAAGAGAAGATGGATCCATTGATCTGAACAGACCCCCACTCTTTTTCCTCTTCTTTCTTCTTTTCTCAGACTGGTTGCTCCAATTTCTAGATCACATTTGTTTACACTATTCACTCCCACCTTGGCACTCGTTGCTCTGACCAACTAGGGGAACTGTTTTCCTTTTTTATTTCTCCCTCTCATCATCTTTTAAAAGGGTATTTAAATTCGATTTTTTGACTAAATAAGAGTTCATATGGTGATGACGACGAGAAGGAGGTAATTACACATGGTGTGCCTCTGGAGGTTCTGATTTCAGCTTTCCTTTCACCTCTTCATTTTTCTGTTGGGACCACTCTATTGGCTGATCTCTTCCTTTTGGATCACATTCACCCTTGCTCTGAAATTTATGCTGTAGCCAAAATAAGTGAGGGCTGTGTCGATTATTTACTCTCCAGCCTTTTTGCACATATCTGCACATATGACACTTAAAACAGAATGCATGACGGCAAGATAATGGTTTAAAGCTCCAAATAGGAACTAGCTAAGAATGAGCTAGCCACTCAGGATCAGCAAGATGAATACAAAGAATTAAGAAGTCCTGAGTGTAATCTCGTTTCCCTAATCTAATGCCCATAACAAGAAGAACTCATTTAGGTTCAAGTTAGATGGAGTTACAGTCTTTCCAAAGTAACCTCTACAAGGCGAAATATTATGAAGAGCAAGGTTAGATAAAGTCAGTGTGTTCAAGGTCCTAGTGGGTGTCTTTCGTCACTGCTAAGGTCACTGAATAAGATAACTTAAAGCACAAGGTGGTTAGATAGCATCATAAAATAAGGTCCTGATTCTCACAAGAGTTTGACTGACTCGATCCAAGAACTGACTCAATAAAGAAAAACATAAACAAATAGAGTTCAGAAACACATAGGTGCCTCCCCCAGACTTACTTCACACCGTTTCTGGTGTGAGAATAAGCCTAAAGTCAGCTTAATCATAATAAGAAGAAATGGATAGTACAAAGGAGGTGTTGTTGCTCCTCGGGCGTGCTCTATTTTTGAACAGATGTATCTCGAGTTTTCCTTTCTTTATCTGAGACTTAATGAAACAAAATCAAAAATAAACAAAAGAAAAATCTTAAAGGTATTTTACACTTACCAGTGGGTTTCCTCCCACCAAGTGCTTGGTTAAAGTCCCTACCTGACTTGGGTAGTCGATTAGGCAGAGGATATATTGCTTAAAGAATTTTTTCCCCTTCAGCGATGGTTGTGTCAGCGAGGTATGGATTTAAGCGTTGACCATTCACAACAAAATCCTCTCCTTTTGTGTCCAAAAAGACGACGGCTCCACATGGCCAAACTTCCTTGATTGTGAAGGGTTCATACAACCTTGATCTCAGCTTTCCAGGGAACAACTTCAACCTGGAGTTAAAGAGCAGGACCTGATCGTTGGGTCTGAATTTCCTACTGATGATCATCTTGTCGTGTTATGCCTTTGTCCTTTCCTTGTATATTTTGGAGCTCGCATAAGCCAAATGTTTGATCTCTTCCCACTCATGGAGTTGAATTGAGTGCCTCTCTGCTGCTGATTTGAAGTTGAAATGTAGCAGCTTCACCATAGACCAGGTTGTAGGGGGTAGTTCCCATTCTTGTAGGCTGTTCTATAAGCCCAGAGAGCATCATCCAGCTTGATCGACCAGTCTTTGCGCATGTTGTTCACTGTCTTTTGAAGGATGCTCTTAATTTCCCTGTTTGACACGTCAACCTGACCGCTAGTCTGAGGGTGATAAGGTGTAGCAACCTTGTGTTTGACTCCATTCTTCTTCAACAATCCTTCAAAAACTTTATTTATGAAGTGGCTCCCTCCATCACTGATGACTACTCATGGAATCCCAAACCTTGGAAAGATGATAATTTTGATCAACTTTATCACCACTTTAGCATTATTGGTCGGACTGGCCAGTGCCTCAACCCACTTAGGCTTATAATCCACTGCAAATAAGATCTACTCGTTCTTGAACGCGGAGGGGGAGGGTGTAACACCCCCGAACCATCCTAGACATATGGTCGATAAACCAGCCAACAATCAAACAAGAATATGACCTATCGACCGACCAACACCCAGGGTTGGAGATCAAAGGCTAACCGGCCAGCCAACAATCAAACAAGAACATGACCGACCGTCCAACCCAACACCATGGTCCGGAAGCGCTACGTGACGGGCTAGGGACAATCTGGTCAGAGTCACAAAATTTACTCCACGACTTAGACCAGTTCATCTACTAACTCGTCCTGCTAAATCAAGGCATAAGGCTTTGCAACCCGTACCAAGAATTAGTGTTGCCGTTAGATCGAGGCCTAAGGCTTTTCAACCCGTACGACGACCTAACGTTGTGTTAGACCAGACTAGTCAAATATCAGAGTACTCATGATGCGCATATAAAACAAATACTTTATTGATTCAAGAAATATTCATACAATTAAATAAATCAAGACCGGTCCTCACCTAACGCCAAATCGAGTCAACTAAACAAAAACCAAAATACCGTATACAAAAGGCATGAAAATCTACTCTGGTGGTCCTAATGTCCAGCTCCATGCTATCACGGTCATCCATATCTAAAGATACCTACAAAAAGGACAACCGAGGATGAGTAACCTAATGTTACTCAGTGAGTTGGCATCCTCTACCCGCAACCTAATAACTAACCCAGACAACCCAAAAATAACACTCAATCTAGCCTAAGCATGCAATCAAAGCTACAGCTACACACACTACAGGAAATGTGAGTATTAATAGCATCAGATTATAGTGTTTTTGATATTTCTGCTATCGTATAAAAACATTTGCTTTTTTAATAGCGTTTGTCAATTTAAAACGCTATGTTATTATCTCAGGAAAATAAAAAAATTTAGCCTCCTTAATTTACTAAGTGTTGGCTCCAACAATTAGAAAAAAAAAAATTACCACCAAAACATTTATTAGATTGACTGAGATGGCTTTGTATTGTTTCTCCACCCCTCTCTATCAAACTCGTCGTCTCCATCTCTAATCTGCCGTGTTTCCCGGTTAGTTTGGGGGTTATTAGATTTGGGTTTCAATTTGCCTTGACCATTTTTTTCTGGGTGTTACGATTTTTTTAACAATTGTCGCAGCCTCTACCATCTCCTCAGCTCCTGCCGGCGTTGACTCACTTCCGGCGAGGTTGACTCACTTCCGGCGAGTACTTGCTTAAGATTTCTCCATCTCACTCGATCTCGATCTCTATCCATCTCTCTCAATCTCAAGATCGTTCTCCATCACGAGCCCTCCAATCCATCTCAAGCTTTCTCTTCTCCTCCGATGCAGACCACCACGAGCTATCTCCGACAGACCCTTCTGAACCCATCTCCGAAGTCTCTCTCTCTGTGAGGTAACTGTTTCTTTGACGTTTACTTTAATGGATTGGTGTTATATGCGTCAAGTGATTAAGGTCAACAAGCATCACAGTTCTGGCCTTTACATTTTGATGGATAACAATTTCTGTTTGATGAACATGATTCTTTGGACAGTGATACTTTTTGTAATGTAAGCAAAACTCTGTTTAAGCTTGATAGATAAGATAAGATGATCAACATATAAAAACCAGTAAGCTCTCTGTTTCATAGGTTTTAAGATGGTTTTTTCCAGAGGTTAAGGTCTATAAGATCCCAGGTAGCTTCTTTGATCAGATTCATGTAATGCGTTCATTCCGGTGAAAATTGATGTTTGCAAGGTATTAGAGAGTCTTTGATTAATTATTTCTGTTATGTGACCACATTAGTTGAGCATTTGTGCTCTCTTTCCAAGTGGGTTTAAGTCACAGAACGTGTACTGTCGTTTGCCAGCTTCTAAAGGTCTATTCATTGCTTATTCTTTTTTTTCTTTTCAGGTCTCAGGCTCTCTTATATGAGACTCTCTCAAAGCTTAGAACCTCTCAAAGCTCAGGTCTCAGGTCATTTGATTGCTTCTTGAAAGCACCTTGCTTATGTGATAACTTATCTAATTTCTTCCTGGTGTAAAATGTCTATAGGTGGTTCGGAAGGTCTATTTGCGGAAAAGACTCTGGAGATCGCATATGATATACTCCAGACTTACAAAAACCAAGGTAAGTTCTTCGATGAAGGCATTGTCGTGGTATACTTAGAATCTTTTTCATTACCTTATTCTGATCAGATCAGAACCACTGAACAGGTTAATGCTGCACTCAAAGCTTGCACTGATTTGAAGCTAGATGGCCTTGTTATCCTTGGATGTAACCTAACGTCTTTATTTATATCATTGGAAAAATATATTTTGTACTAAACTAAGATTTTATATTGGGGCTTTTGGAAGGTGTGACATCAAACACAGAAGCTGCTCACCATGCTGGTTTTTTCGCTGAAGCAAAGTTCTCAACAAAGGTCCGAACTGTTCTTTATCACCATATCCTTTTTTCCACTAATTTTATATATTCAAAAACCCTTCATGAAGCACATTGGTCGTTCAGTTTCATTGCAGGTAGTTGGTGTTCTAATTACTACAAATGGAGATCTCAAGAATCAGTTTGTTGAGGCAAACATTGGTTTTGACACCATATGCAAGAGAAGGATGACACTTTTTGTGACCAGATCAGTGAATGTGTTTATGTGTATATTGTCATAAAGTTGCTTTCTCAATTTTTTATTTATTTTATTTTATGAGTGTCAAATAAAATTACATATAACATAATTTTTTATTTTAGTTAATGACTTATTTTTCTTTGCTTATAAGTTTGATTATCATTACAGTTCAAATATTTCATCTTAAAATCCAAAGATAACACAACAACTAATACTAACAACAAATTAGAGAAAAAACAAAAATAATATTTTTTACTTCAACATCTAAACCCTAAACCCCAAACCCTAAACCCTATACCTAAATTATATAGAACATTTTAAACTTAAATTATATATTTCTTTAAAAATATATAACTATATAGGTCATAAGTTTCAAATACAAAACTATAAATCTAATAGCATAAACCAGATACTCTTAGCACCAAACCCTATAACATAAATACAAACACTAAATTTTTAGTCAAAGACTTAAGACTAACCCTTAACATTACACTTTAAACCCTAAACTCTACATCCAAATCTTAGTTCAAACTATCAAATTATTAACAGTATTTAATTTTTCACAATTTTTCACAATGTTATAACTGGTTGTAATTTTAACAAATTACATTTTATAAAAATATTTTTTATTTATATTTTGTATTAAAGAAATATAACAACACCCTAAACCCTAAACATAAACTTTAAAATTTCAATATTTTTGTAATATAACTTCAATCTTAAAATTAAAATTAAAATTTAATCATTTAAAAATATAATCTCATATTCAAAATCTAAACCTCAAACAATAAATCTAAAACTACACACTAAACCTTTTTTTTTGAACACCTACACACTAAACCTAATACCTTAAAACCCAAACTTAAACACTACACTAGATTTTAACCCGCGCTTAAAAGCGCGGAAATTTTTTATAATGAAAATCTATATAATTGTGTTATGTCTTAATTTAAAGAATGTTTTGGTATAAAATCAGTTTATCAAAATTTGTGGTGACGATTTTTTCATTAGTTTTTAATTTTAGTTTTTATTTTTAGATTTTTGTTTTTAGTTTTTAAGTTTTTATTTTTGATTTTCAGCTTTTGTTTGGATTTTTAATTTTTAGATCCGCTGAGTTAGTTTGAGCTGATATTACCAACAAACAAATTTCAAATAATCGAACATCTAATTTAAACTGAAAAGATGACAAAAAAGTTTTAAAAAAAATTGCAATAGTTATTTTGTAAATAAACAAAAGCAAAAACTATAACAATATGTTATCCAGAACAATGCGTTTTCAGCTTTTGGTTTTGGGTTTTAGTTTTTAGAATTGGTTTTTGATTTTTCTTTACATTTCTTTTTAAATCAGTAAATTATTTAAGAAAAATAAAATAATAAATTATTTAAAAGTTACCATTGAAATTTATCAAAAAAGTGATTGTTATTTAAAATAAAAAATACAATAACATGTTTTAAAGTACATGATTTAAATAAATTATTAATAATAGACAATTATGTTTTGTTAAAAATATTAAATACATTTGGACCTGAAAATAATAATTGATTTTTTGATCCATTAAGATAGAAATTTTATTCAATGTTTTTTGGATTTTTTTCCTTGATAGTAAGCCTAAAAATAAAGCCATATAATTTGTCCTAAAAACAAAAGTAAGCCCAAGACTATATCCCATAAATAACCATCGGTTTAATTTAAGTAATGCGGTTCAATTAACTATATGGCTTGTTGTAACACTCTAGAAAGAGTCCAAATTTAAATGACAATTTTTATTAATAGATAAAAAGAAAGACTATTTTAATAGAGTATATTTCCATTGGTTTCATATAATTATTAAATTTCCATTTTTTTAAGGAATTGTTAAGATGCTAAATGGTATATTACGATTTCCACATTAATATAATTAGTAGATTTCATATTCCATATTTTGATAATATATATTCTTTTAGAACATTCCATATTTGTGAGAGAAAATATGTTTTTTGGTGGACACATAGATATCTGCCGTAATTTGAATATACTTTACATTAAGGTCGCCATGTTACATTAATTGGGGGGAATTGCCAAAACCAACCCAAATATTCATTTTAACCCTAAAGGTGCACCCCTTATTCAATCAATTGCAAACCCAACCTAAAGGGGTGTTAAAACTACTATTTAACACTTATGAACAAACAAAAAACGTGCAGTATATTTTACGATTTTGTCCTTCGTAGGTCTACACTTTAAGAAAGAAGTTTACAACTAGGTAGACTTACATTAACGTCTACTGTGTAAACTAATGTAGACTTATTATTTAGTCTACATCTTAATTTAATCAAATAATTTAATTTAAAAATGTAGAAAAAATGTTTTTGGTAATTTTTTTAATAAATCATCAATTTAAAGGTTAGTATGAGGTAGATAAATTAAATTTTCTTATAATTGAACAATTTTAA